GTGGGCGGGGGCTGTGGCGGCCGGGGGCCACGTCTACTTTCCCACGGCTGACACCAGCCGGGACCCGGCACGGCCCTGCCCAGACATGGCCCCGGCCCCATGCCTGCTGGCCTGAGCGGAGAAGCGTGTGAAGGTGAAGCGCTCTGATAGCGATACGTCGCACGCGGAGGCAGCGTGCCTCCCTGACAGTGGCCGTGCCCGCGGAGCTGAGCTTTCAGTGCTGAGTACAGATGGCCTGAGGCTCTCTAAGGACATGTGACCGTCTCTCTCGGCACTACTTTCGGGTCACTCAGGCTCCCCGGCCAGCCCGCGGCTGATGGACAGTCATACGTGGAGGAGGGCTGCTCCTGCACCAGACGGGGTCCCCTACTCCAGTTCCTGATGGTCTCCGTCCCCGGGACCCTCCATGCCCCCTGACCTCCCACAGGCCTCCACCCCAGCACCCTCTGGGTGCAGCTGGGCACCCCTGCCCTCGTGGGCACCACGCTCGGGCCGGCCACGCAGCCCCAGCTGACACCCACTTTCTGCCCAGGAGCCCCACCCCATGGCAGGACTGCGGCTCTGGGGTCAGCAGAGGCCACGTGCAGGCCGAGGGCACGCTGGGGCAACTCCAGTCCACTGTGTCCCAGCCTCTGCAGAGCCCTTTGCCGGGGGAGCAGGGCAGAGAGCCTGGGGTGCTGGGGAGGGGGTACCTGCCAGGCGTTCCCTGCTGCCTGCCCCTCTAGGGGTGGGGGCTGCCCCTGGGAAGACCCGGGCTTTGCAGCTCTGGGCCCCGGGGCTCCTCTCCCAGCCACCCCAGTGGCACCTGTGAGCACCGCTTGCCGGGCTCCAGCTCAGCCACATGCGTGCGTGTTTGTGGACAGTGCCCCCCAGCGTGTGTCCCCAAGCAGTGTGTGCCGCTCTAAACCCTGAGCCTCTGGGTCCCTGAGGCTGCGCTGCGGGGCCACACTTCTCACATGGTCAGTCGTCCCTCCCCTGCCAGACACCAAGCGTGTGCCGGCCCCACGCGGGCACGGGTGCAGGCGGAGCCCGGGGTGGAGCGAGACACACAGAGGCGGTGAGGGAGGCGGTGGGCACAGCGTGCTGGCAGGGGGCACGGAGGCCCTGAGAAGGCGGCAGCAGCTGGGCTGGTGGGCGTGTGCCTAGGCGGGAGGAACTGGGAGGAGTGGGAAGGCCCAGTGAGCCGCCGAGGCTGCGGCCAGGGCAGAGGAAGGACAGCGGTGTCGCCGCTGGCCCCCGGCCCCGCTGTCGGTGCACAGCCCACTTCGGGCCCTCTCTCGGCCCCTTAGGCTGGAGCCCCGCCCCGGGCTCTGGCACCAGCCACTCTGCCTTCCAGTTGCGCCCTGAGTAACGTGAAGAAGGTGTCCCTGGAGCTGGGTGGGAAGTCGCCCCTCATCATCTTTGCTGACTGCGACCTCAACAAAGCTGTGCAGATGGTGAGGGCAGGGCGGGGACAGGGGCCCGCGGCAGCCAGAGGGGGGGACCGCTCTCTGCTTCCACAAGCTCGCAGTCGAGCCACTCCCGGGGCCCACGGCGCCCCCACACGCACGCCATGTGGGAAGGCCACCTGTGGCCTGCCCTGCTCGCCCGCCTGCCTCTCCAGGACAGAGGCTCCCCCAGGCCACCGCGGTGAGCCCCGTGTGCAGAGGGTTCTTGGGGGCGCTGGCGCTCGCTCCTCCTTGGCCTCCGTGCTCTGCGACATGCAGCGTCCTCGGCTCCCACGGCTGAGTCACGGCTCCATCCTGCCTCCCCTCGCTGCGTGCCTCGGGCCTCAGCGGCCTGACCCCCATGCTGTCACCCCTTGCTGTCCTCTCGAGGTGACCGAGAGTGACAGGTGTGAGGCAGCTGTGTCCCGGGCCGGCTGGGCCTGGCCCGCGGTGGAGGCCAGGGCAGGTGCCGTCCTCCCCAGCACTCCCCTCCCTGTGAGTGGCCCGGAGAGGCCTCACGACGTCCATCTCGTCTGTTCTCCGAAGGGGATGAGCTCCGTGTTCTTCAACAAAGGCGAGAACTGCATTGCGGCGGGCCAGCTCGTGTGTTCTCCGAAGGGGATGAGCTCCGTGTTCTTCAACAAAGGCGAGAACTGCATTGCGGCGGGCCGGCTGTTCGTGGAGGCCGCCATCCATGACCAGTTTGTGCAGAGGGTGGTAAGTGCTGCCTGCTCTGGGGGCTCGCTGGATGGCAGCCTGGGCTGCAGGGGTGCAAGAGGGGAGGCAGGGCCGGCCGGGGGCGTGCTCCTCCTCATAGGGTGCCTCCCCCTGGACCAGGGCAGACTTCGGGGACTGAGTCCTCGTCCCCGGGGACGTGTCCCAAGACCCCCAGCACACGCCTGAGTCTGCAGAGGGTGGTAAGTGCTGCCTGCTCTGGGGGCTCGCTGGATGGCAGCCTGGGCTGCAGGGGTGCAAGAGGGGAGGCAGGGCCGGCCGGGGGCGTGCTCCTCCTCATAGGGTGCCTCCCCCTGGACCAGGGCAGACTTCGGGGACTGAGTCCTCGTCCCCGGGGACGTGTCCCAAGACCCCCAGCACACGCCTGAGTCTGCGGCACCCCAGGCTGTGCCCCTGAGTTCATGCTGCAGTTTCAGCCAGAAGTATTAGCAAGAGTACTCGAGCAAAGGCCGTTGAACATAACAGTGCGTGCGCCGGGAAACACACGGGCTAAAGAGCAGGGTCGCAGCAGCTCGCCTGGTGTCTACACCGCGGGCACTGCTGGCACTCTGGAGGAGGCTCAGCCCACCCGGTGGGAGTGCGGGGGCACGGGCAAACACACGCCTTGTGTAAAGGACTTGACCAATCTGAGCTTTGGCGTCTGCCGGGGCCCGGGCCCAGCGCCGGCAAACCCAGAGACCATGTCTATGCCGTATGTTTGCATCTGAAAACCGCGTGGCTGCAAGTGACTAACGGGTGAGGTCGGCGTGACCGGGTTTGCTGGACCAAGGGGCGCCTCCTTCAGCGGGGACGGAGCGGGTTTCGTCACGCCGCTCAGAGCAGGGCAGAACCTACAGGTTGCGAATTGTCCGTTTCTGAAACTCTCCGTTTGATGCTGTTGCGCATAGTCAGCCTCCAGCCCTAAAACCGTGGACGAGGAGCAGCTGCAGTTTTCACCTTGCAGCAAGCAACGGCAGCCCCACGGGTGGATGGCCCTGGCCCTCTGCGGGGAGGTCAGCCCACGTGGACCGTGATGTGGAGTGACCTTGCTTGACCTTAGCAGATCAAGGAAGGAGGCTGAGAGAGAGGTGGCAAAAGTGGGGGCAGCCAGGCCTAGCCTGCCCTCAGGCCTGCGTGCGCCTCGCCTCCGAGCCTGTTCACAGGCGTTCCCACTCATAACATGTTCCTAATCATCACACAGAGCCGCTCTGTCACGTCCCTGGGGAGACCAGGCCATCATCTCTGGGCAACACAGCCTCACCTTGCCTTTATCTTGGCCAAGACAATAGGGAAGGCTTCCTGGAGGAGGGGACATCAAAGATGGGTTTTGAAGCAGACAGAAGCCAGCAGGAGTGGGGACTTTGGGCAGGCCCCTCCTTTCTGAGGCCACCACCAGGGCTACTGCCCCTCTCACATCCTGGGATCTGGGACAAATAGTTCCTTTGGCTGCTGGACCCGGTCAGGCATGGGCCCCGTCAGGCACCCCCTATGCAGGGCCTTCTCCCCACTAGCCACGTACCTGTCCATCTGCCCCTTACCCACATCCCTGTACCCTCCGCTCCCAGCCTGCTGTCACTCGGTGTGCATCTCCCTCGGGGACGTGGAACTGTCACAGCAGAGGCTCCTGGAAGGCCACTTTGGAACCAGAGTGTGCAGACCCCGGTGCTAGACCACACGGGGCTCTTCGGGGCCTGGCTGGGATCCAGAAAGGCAAACGTGGGAGGCAGGCTGGGGTGCAGAACTGCTGCCACCCCAAGCTGGCCTGACCGAGGACCCCCCCCAGGTGGAGGAGGTGAGGAAGATGAAGATCGGCAACCCCCTGGACAGGGACACCAACCACGGGCCGCAGAACCACCAGGCCCACCTGGCGAAGCTGCTGGAGTACTGCCAGCGTGGCGTGCGGGAGGGGGCCAGGCTGGTCTGTGGCGGGAAGCAAGTCCCTCGGCCAGGTCAGCCAGCACGCGCCCGGCCCGCCGGGTAAAGCGAGGCAGCAGCCTCCACGGAGCGGTCCCGACCCCCGGGCTGGCAGTCCCGTGAGGCCAGGGACAGTATGGCTGGGGCGGGCGGGGGGGGGGGCGGGGGACCGTGCTGCAGAGACGTGATGAAGGCACTGTCCACGGAGGGGGCCCGGGGCCCACAGGGAGGGGCCGTCCCTGCACTGGCCTGAGGACCGGCCCGTGGGGCAAGGCCGCCTCCATGCCAACGCCCCGCAGGGCAGAGGGCCAGGGTGCCCGGTGTGTCGGCCACCTGTCAGGGCCCGAGCAGGGCAGTAGAGCAGGAGGGAGGACAGCAGGAGGGCACAGGGAGGCCGACGCCACACCGGCCCAGGCCTCGGCCCCGGGAGCAGCGGCGAGACAGTCCCGCGTGCGCGCCCAATCCGAGTTCCAGGCCTGCCTACTCACGTTTTAAAATGGGCAGAGGGCCAGGGTGCCCGGTGTGTCGGCCACCTGTCAGGGCCCGAGCAGGGCAGTAGAGCAGGAGGGAGGACAGCAGGAGGGCACAGGGAGGCCGACGCCACACCGGCCCAGGCCTCGGCCCCGGGAGCAGCGGCGAGACAGTCCCGCGTGCGCGCCCAATCCGAGTTCCAGGCCTGCCTACTCACGTTTTAAAATGTGACTATACATGTGTGCTTAATGTTGACTATCTCACTAGCTAAATATGTTTTCTTTTTTTAATTTTGTTTTTATAAAAACTGGAGAAGTTTTTGTCTTTTGGTTTTCCCCAAACTGAGCAAATGAAACAGCGCAGCGGGTGGGAGGCCCGGGCACGCATCAGAGAAGCTCTGGTCGGAGGGCACCTGCCGTCTGAGTTGGCTCTGTCCTGCGACCCGGGCATGCGGATGGGCAGTCCAGGGCTGGGCAGGTGCTCGGCCAGGCGGCTCCAGAGCCCGGGGCCGAGTCCCGGTAGAGGCCACGTGCCCTGCGAGTGGGGGCCGGTGCCTAGCACCTTGGCCCCACAGAGGACACGGGGGGCAGGCCAGGGTCCCAGTGGCCAGGACCAAGCCCCTACTGGCCGCTGCCACAGGGCCCATGGGGGAGTGCTGGAAGGTGTGGCCACACCTGCCCGAGAACTGAAGCTTAGTTGGAATGTGTGGAAGGACCCAGAGCCGCGCAGACTTGGGCTCCAGGCTCGGCCCCGACCGCGCCGACTCTGTGGACATCAGCCTTGTTTTCCACAGCCGTGTCCAGTTACAGGGGTGTGAGCTCACGTGAGATCGGCCTGCGGGAGGGCCACACGGGACGCTGGTGTCTGTCACACGGTGCTGGGGCGCCGCCCTTCCAGAGTGGACATTCGTAGAGTGGCCAGAGTGGCCGGGGAGGGAGGCCGGGCCCCCAGGACTGGCACCTTCATGCGCGCCTGGCCGGTGTCCCCACAGGCTTCTTCTTTGAGCCGACCGTGTTCACGGACGTGGAGGACCACATGAGCATCGCCAAGGAGGAGTCCTTCGGGCCCATCATGATCGTGTCGCGGTTTGCGGACGGGTAGGGTCCTGCC